TTTTCAAAAGATGAGACTGACAAGGGATTAATATCCAGAATATATAAACAGCTCGTATAACTTAGTAAGAAAAAACCAAACAGCCCAATCCAAAAATGGGCAGAAGACCTAAACAAGCAATTCTCGAATGAAGATACAAATGGCCAACAGGCACATGAAAAAATGCTTAGTATCACTAATTATCAGAGAAATGCAAGTCAAAACTACAATGAGCTACCACCTCACACCAATCAGAATGGCCATCATTCAAAAGTCCACAGATGATAAATGCTGGAGAGGATGTGGAGAAAAGCGAACCCTCCTACACTGTTGGTTGGAATGTAGTTTGGTGCAGCCATTATGGAAAACAGTATGGAGATTCCTCAAAAACAAAAAAAAAAACTAAAATAGACTTACCATATTATCTAGTAATCCCACTCCTGGGCATATATCCAGAGGGAACTTTAATTCAAAATGACACATGTGAGATTCCAGTCAAGATGGCAGAGTAATAGGACCACAAATTCGCCGCTCCTCGCAACTACAACAAAACTACAACCAACTGCTGAACAGCCATCAAGAGAAAAAGTGGAGCCTAGCAAAAAAGATCTGCTTCAACTGGAAACAGAGAGAGGGAACCACAGCAGGAAGGTAGGAGGTGTGCACTCACGATATACTAGGACCTGATACCCCCTAGGTAGGCAAACCATAAGCTGAAGAATAATTAAATCATAGAGGCACTCCCACAGGATGACAGTTCTTGACCCTATGTCAAGCTCCCCAGCCCATGGTTCTGGCAGTGGGTGAAGGAGACCCCAGGACATCTGGTTTTGAAGGCCAGTGGGGCTTAACTTCAGGAGCCCCACAGGGGAGACAGAGACTTAATTCTCTTGGGAAATGTGCATGGGATCTCACATGCACAGGGTCCAGAGGCAGAGACAATAATTTCATAGGAACCTGGGCTAGACGTGCCTGCTGGTTTTGGAAGTTCTCCTGGGGAAATAAGGGACTGCAGCTTCAGTTCACCCAGGGGACATAAAAGCTGGTAGAGGACATTCCAGGGGTGTTCAT